TTCTTCTCTTCCAAGCTCCACTGTGCTAGTCTGGCCACCAGCAGCAGCAGCTCCCAGACACAGAAACAGTCCTGCCAGTTTACATGTACTTCGTATTCTTTTGATGACAGTGTCTGTTTAAATGTAGGCTTTTTTTTTTCTCCTTGGCTTTTAATGAGCATCTTTAAATAGGAGAACTTTAAATGTAAATTACAAGTTGTTTGCCATCAGAAAATTCCTATTTTTTCTGAGAAAGCAACAAAATGCTCCAAGTACAATCAAGCTGGTATCAGTCATTTGTTTCCCACTGTCTCTTCTCAGGTGTATTTATGTTTCTGCAGAATTAGGTAGCAGGGTCTTTTTCTGAATCCTCCTTATGATATATTGTATTTCTGTTTTTTGTCCTCAGGTAAAAACTGGAAAACAGATGTGATCATGAGCAGAAGCTACACCACGGAGCAGAGGCAGCTGTCCTTCAAGATGGATGCCTTCCATACGTTCACGCTAATCCAAGAAGCCTACCTTAATATGCCCTATGAGTCATGGGAACTGAAGCCCAGCGGCATGAATGAAGTGTCACTAACGGTCAGCTCTGCTTTCATCGATATTCATATTGAGATCAAGGTAAAGAGCCTATAGAAGAGTTAGACTGTAAACTGTGATATCTAGGGCAGCATTAGTGGCAGGTTGTGAGTGGTGTTTCCCCTTTTAGAGGGAAGTCATTCCCCACACTCCCTGATGCTCTGCTCATCTGTTGTAGTTATGGGCAACATCCATTATTTCTAGGTATGGAGGAGCATGGGACTTCCTCACAAGATGCCGTGCTTGAGCCTCAGCAGCCAATCACCAGGCATGAACACTGTCATTTGGAGGAGGGGAGGTGGTCATTAACCCTATGTGAGCTCAGGCTCAGACCACCCCAGAGCTTGCAGAAGGATTAGACTCCAGGCTCCAAAAGAGGAATGACCTGACAGGAAATATAAGTATTAGCGGATGGGGGCTGTCTGGCAAGAGAACCTGTCACTTTGTCCTGAACGTAAAGTGGACCTTTACCCCCTTTCACTAAGAATCACAGCAGCATGCTGATTTAAAATCATATTACATTCATTAAACAAACTTGGTTTTAATTTACTTACAAATAGAGTTCATCTACCCCCTGGTCCAGTTCTGGCACAAATTATGTATGTGCCCAAGCATTGCATCCTGGGAAGTGTCTATTTGTAGATGCCATTACAAAACATTTCAAAAGGTGCGTTTGTTGTTATTTTAAAGATATGGGTAAAGTTCCCGTTTGATGGCTTCATATAGAGCAGTGGTTCTCAACTCGTGGGTCGCGACCCAAAAGTGGGTCGCGACACCCTCTGCAGTGGAGAATACCTTAATCTGTACATAGCTACAATTAGAAGTTAAACCTACAGCTGCCTCCACTGCATATAAAATGCAAGGACAGTGTCAACCTTTATTCTTTTAACATATAGGAGGATATAAAACTTGATTATTGGTGGCAGTAATGACACAGACCTGTTGTGTGCGTTTCAGGACGATCAGTGCAGACTGGCAGAAGTGTCCAGCACTGATGGCGATCTATCTGCTCTACTCGGGAAGTGGATGACCCCTCTGTGTCTGAAAGCCGCCATGAAAAGAGTTGGACTGAACTTTTTTCCTGTCGAAGACTCTGCTAAATATGTCATTGTGAACAAAAAGGTACAAACATCTTTACATTTTCAGCTCCATGCGGTATGACATCGGATTTGGAGGATTGCTGTGATAATTGCTTGTTATTTTGTTGCATTATTTCCTATTTCAAGACTAAACATTCCTCTAGTTTATGGGAAGGTGCAATGTCTGAACACATTGAGGGAAAAGGAGTGAAATAGACAAAGAGATGAAAAAAGTCCATTAACGTGTAATGATACTGGATTTTGCCTTTGGGGCAGTTGCAAGATACACAAAGCCCAATACAGATCAGAGGAGTCTGAGATTCATATTGCAGGGTAGAGAAGAATACTGAACATAAAGGGGAAAAAGAAAAAAAAACCTATGACAATACTAAAATATAATCAATGATCAACATTTATCTCCCTCCAGAGCGAACAAGCAGAGATAACAGCGTACCAGGAGATGGCACTTTTGTCGCCATCCTTCGCATTTGGCTGGAGTAAATGGAACCATAACTGTGGCCATGAACAGATCATAGTCAAGGTGGGTACTACACAGGGGGAGGAAGCCAAGGAGTACCTCCCTACCTCACAGGTACTACTCAGGGGCCTTAGTTAGGAGTACTTCGCTTCAGGTATCACAGAGAGGAGACGGCTGAGGGGAGTAAATCTGATAAGTGTGTTTTCCTCTGGGGATAGCACCACTCTGAATGGAGAAGACTGACAGGTCTTTACAACGTGCATGTATGGGGAAGTTTTAATCTTTCGCAGTCTGCAGCTTGTCAATTGTCCTGACATTACAAGTCCCAGAATGCCCTGGGAAGCAAGGGCTGCAAAGTCTTTCAGTGGGGAGCAGCTCAGAAGTCTTAAAGCTAACTGTGTTCTTGGATGCCAGGCTGTTACCACCGAGTCTCATTTTTAAACCTACTAAATATTTTAAAACATATGGGAGTCCACCATGCCACAACTTTCCCCATAAACTCACCTGTTAGAACCCTGAACAAGCCTACCATTTTTTATTTAGATAGGACATTAGGGTCAGCCATCAATTGTTCCCAAAAGAAGGTTTTAGAAAATGGGACAGACAAAAACCAGACATCAGGACGAACACTTCTAAAATCTGCATTTCCCTGATGAGCCCTAAAGAGAACACAAGTAAAACAGTTTGGTCCAGAACCCATCCCAAGTTGTGATTGGTCATGAAGGAGTAGCAGCAATCTCATAAGGCCATCCCTTTGCTCTCCCTTCCAGTAAGTATATTTGCAGTGTCACCAACAGTCTTGGTCATACTAAGCTGGGAACCTTCATTACTGTTGCTATACTGCTTGGCAATTGCAATCTGTAGATGTTCCCTTAGTATGATTCTCTGTTCTGAGGGAACACTCTACATTCTATTTTGGAACTAGAAGCCCCCAGCAACATGTCCTCCCTTTCCAAGGAACTGCCCGTCACTGGTCTCACAGTAGCTATCAGAATCTATGCTGACTTGTTCCCAATTATGTGATTATTGTGACAGTCAATCACATGGGTTTGTTTACAAAATTGTTCATTTGTCACCCTATAATAAAAGTAGGGATTGTATTCAATCAGTGTACCAAATAAAAACCTTATATGTCCTTATAGAACAGAAGGATTTAAAGTGTGCACTATGTCTGGGCAACAAAAAATATATGCTGTACATTTCTGCAACCCATGCACATGGATATGTGTTCTCTTTTCTAAAATCTTGTGTGTACGGCCACGTAGTCCCAGAGGACAGGGGCTGCGTACTAATCACACGCAGCACCTGTCCTTCCCGGGAGCTGCCCGATACGGCCGTGCACGCAGCACGGAGCTGTACGTGCTGGCCGATTCCAGTGTGATAGAGGGCTTATGGTCAAGTTAACCAAGGCATACCCAACCCCTGCCTTATTTAGTCTGGGCACCTAGGCATCAATGACCTCTGGTCATAAGAGTTCCATGACTTAACCCCTTCTTCTGGCATTTGCAGGTGAGGGAATGCCGCGACTCTTCCAACAACGATGACTGGTCCCTTTACCTGTTGAGCACTCAGAGGATCCAACGTTTAAAGATCTCGGAATCAGACGATACATTCTCTGAAGATCTTTACGATGGCAGTGAGTTCCACTCCACGCTCTATCACATGATCAAAGATTACTCCAGCTCCGACGCCATCGATAGACTGAAACACTCCCATCACCTGTTTGTGGATTGCGTCTACCAGCTGCTGAGTATGACCAGAGTGCTGACATATTCATAAACAATAGATTTCTTTATTGACAATAAATATCCGGCAGTAAAAACAGCGTGGTGCACTCCACGCCAGCAAATCACACGTGACAGCCATGTAACTTAACACGCCATACCATCTCCGAGTTATTCTATATTACATATTAATTAGGAAGCTGGCAGTCTCTTGTAGACAATATGACATCTTTGTGGCCTCTGCTGGCTTATAATAAAATACAATATATACAGATAAATTATTTTAAAGCATGATTGTCCAGAATATTGTACATCATAGAGAGGGGGGTGGGGGCCAAGTGTTGTAAACACTACAAAAAAAACAGTTAAAATATTGAAAATCCTCATCGCCATCATACTGGCGGGGGCCCGTTGTGTCGGAGCTCAGTGTAGGGCCACAGTAACTGCTGAATGGAAGTCCATGAGATGCCGGGACCGACTGGGGCTCCATCTACTGGTCTGTGGAAGGACAGGCCTGTCAGGAAACCAGCGAGTGTCACAAATAAAAACGCAGCCACGATAGCGATCACAATAGGTTTGTTGATGGAGGTTATCGATCGTCTCACGTCAGACGTCCAGGACAAAATTCGGCTGTATCTGGAAAAACAAAGGACATCGGGAAAAGCTGAATTTCCTGTATTTAGGACAGTTTTATGAATAGGTTAAAAAGGGATTTGTGGAACTGCAAAGCTTAATAAGACGTACCCAAATTTTGGCCACATAGGATGAATCATACTTCCAGATTTATACTTCCAGAACCCCATTAGAGTTGTCCCTACCCCCTACTCCAGTTACCTGGCAGCCTTGGTATCACACCTATTCAGCGCGTTTTACACGCGTCTTTTTTTTGCACGTATGTTAAGTCGCGTGGTTTTGTGAGCAGATTTTGGCAAATTCATGTCAACGTGTAATACACGCGCAAATACGTTTTTCAAGCGTTTTCTATCAAGGCTATGGGACGAAATGCCCCAAATGAGCTCATGTAGTATTTCATGTGACAGGCGTATTTCTGCTTGCGACAAAACGCTGACATGTGCACTGGGGTCATAGACATGAATGGGATTCCTAGTGTTGAGCTGTTTGTCGCACAGATTTACGCGTGACAAACAGCTTAGGTGTGAAGGGGGCCTAAAGATCAGACATCAGTTTTACAAGCCACACCAAGCCTGGGAACCGAGAGGCTGTAAGGCAACTGAAAACTGGACAGGCTTCAGCTTGTAGAGAGGAGCGTGTACGACCGGCATTTTCAAAGCTTTCGGCAAGCTATTAAAAGCTATTGTAATATATATCACGATCAGTGGAGTAACAATCACCATAGCGACCCAGGCGGCCGCTATGGGGCCCAGGGCACAGTGGGGCCCGGTCAGATGCCGTGCGGGCCGCCTGGGTCGCTATGGGATCCTCTGCTGGTGGCTTTCACTGGCGGCTCAAAACAAAAACACGCCGCTGTTCAGATCACAGACAGTAATCAGTGCAGCGGCCCATTCCTCTCAACAAAGTCAATGAGAGCCAGCAGTGGCAGTGGAGGAGGCGGGGCCCGTCAGCGACCGTGGAGGAGGCGGACAGGTAAGGAGTGCGACCAGCCCACCTGAGGGTGACCCTGCAGAGCCCACCATAGAGAGTCTATGGTGGGCTCTGCAAGTTCACCCTCAGGTGGGATCTCGAGTGGGCTCTGCAAGGGGTATAACTAGAAATCATGGGGCCCCATACAAAATTTTGCTATGGGGCCCTGTGATTTCTAGTTACGCCCCTGATCACGATGCTGCACATTACTTGAGCAGAGCTGTGGGAGGGACTAAGCAGACTCCACCCACTGCAGGCTAGTTGCAGAAGACTATAGGAGGGGGCAGAGACGAGACCAGTCACCCTGCATAAGAAGAGAGAGCAGCAGTGACTAGTCTGTATTACAGGAAGCGCCTGCACAGAGTTTCACACTGGAATATTGCACAGATCTGGAAGAAATACACAAAGCTCATCAACATTCAAGTCAGCACACACGGCTAATTTTTAGACATTTGCATTTTCTAGAACTCTAAAGCGCCATTCAGCACCAATCTGAGGAGGTTAAACATCAATTTTAAATGAGTGCCGACTATCACTTTAAAAAAACTACTAGTAGACTTCAGCATTACCAGAAGCCTGTTGAAGGCTTTCTAGCGGCTTGTTTACAAAGACATTCAGTAATGTGTTCAACATCCCCAATCTAGAAATTTGTAAAAGTTTACTGCACACCTTATTCCTATACAAACTGAAGCCTGTATGAAGGCCGAAGGAGTAGGACTGCATTCTGTCCACACATGCAGCTCAGCAGCCTCCCATCCTCTTCAGTGGTGCAGCGAGGGTGGCAGTTCTGAAGCTGCATTTGACCTGCTTTACATTGCATTCCTTGGGACATCCTACTGACATTCCTTTGCATTACAGGCAGGTTAAGTTCGTCCTTTTTCTGCGCTTGGTGTTCAACTGTTTGGTGGTATTCTGCAACACTGTCTTTTGCATTCAGTGTGCACATGCGCTAAGGCAAATGGTCACCTGGCTCTGCTAACAGTTTAGTTCCAGAGCAATATTCCACCCACATCAATGCAAGAGAAATAAAAAAAACCAAACACAAGGACCTGTGCTGGACAGCACTGGTAGGCAGGTTGGTGGTCTGGAACCTTTTTGACTGGGTGCAGGTATCGAGTAAATGCTGCATTTTGGCTAAAAGATGGAGCGAAGGATCCCTGTAATAGCAATGGTTACATCTACAGCATAGTATTTTCAATTCCCTCCAGCTTTCTCTCGAACTGTTACATTGCATCTCTTGTTACTAAGAAGTATTTCCCATGACCCTCAGCTCCAACGTGTGGTCATATATAGCAGTATTTCCTGAGTCACTGACGGGGCCGGATTTACTCTCCCTGCCGCCCCAAGGCCAGGTTCTGCCCAATCCCCCCCCCCCCCCAAGTCCTGCCTTCCCAAAGCAGGAGGGCAACTTACCGCCCGGCACTTTATGTTCCTGGTGGCGGGGGATTCCACACAGCTGCCGCCCTGAGGCTTGGCCTCGGTGGCCTTTTGGGGAATCCGGGCCTGGTCACTGAATGAATCTGTTTTTACAACCTGCCTTAATATTTGAAGAACATTTGACCGGAAGAGAAAAATTGCCCAAGAACATTTGATTTTTCCCCAATTCTCACAGGATCTGGTTAATTCACATATGATGAATGTGCATTCAGTTTTTTTATATAACCCCATACATTCACCATTAGTGGACAGGATTCACTTACGTGGATTCTGGTTTGGAAGGAGACGGCGGTTTCTGCGGTAAGCTGAATTTTCTGGTTTTCTCTTCTTGTATTTCCTCCGCTAATTCTGTGGTGGGCTCATCCCTGTTTGATTACAACATAAAGCTAGTTTTATACAAAGTATTTTGGGCTGTCCTTCCTCTCAACTGCAGTCTGGACACAAATGTTTCTATACACCCTTAAGGGGGAAGATGTTTAAAAGGAGAACTATGACATGAGTGATTTCCACTCATGTCATAGTTCTAAGCCGACCTGTGACAATGATACTGTCAAAGGTCGGCTCAGTAGATCGGGAGGTGAGGGAACACATACACAGCTATAACCATTTTGACCCATTTCCTGAAGCTGGGAGGGGCTGCTAATATGCCAATTTGCCCATCTCTTAAACCACATCCAGCTCTGGAAGTCAGTTGAAGCCACAATGGGTTTGTGCCAATCCCTCTGTCATGGTAACAAAGTGCTACAGAAGACTATTTTGAACTTTTTCACATGTAGCTGGCTGTTAGAGGCATAAAGAACGATCTGAACAAAGAGCAGTGGCTATGGAATGGCTTCTCAACAGAGAGCGGTGGCTGTGGAATGGCTTCCCAACAGAGAGCGCTGGCTGTGGAATGGCTTCCGAAGAGAGAGCGCTGGCTATGGAATGGCTTCTGAAGAGAGAGCGCTGGCTATGGAATGGCTTCTGAAGAGAGAGCGCTGGCTATGGAATGGCTTCTGAAGAGAGAGCGCTGGCTATGGAATGGCTTCTGAAGAGAGAGCGCTGGCTATGGAATGGCTTCTGAAGAGAGAGCGCTGGCTATGGAATGGCTTCTGAAGAGAGAGCGCTGGCTATGGAATGGCTTCTGAAGAGAGAGCGCTGGCTATGGAATGGCTTCTGAAGAGAGAGCGCTGGCTATGGAATGGCTTCTGAAGAGAGAGCGCTGGCTATGGAATGGCTTCTGAAGAGAGAGCGCTGGCTATGGAATGGCTTCTGAAGAGAGAGCGCTGGCTATGGAATGGCTTCTGAAGAGAGAGCGCTGGCTATGGAATGGCTTCTGAAGAGAGAGCGCTGGCTATGGAATGGCTTCTCAACAGAGAGCGCTGGCTATGGAATGGCTTCTGAAGAGAGAGCGCTGGCTATGGAATGGCTTCTGAAGAGAGAGCGCTGGCTATGGAATGGCTTCTGAAGAGAGAGCGCTGGCTATGGAATGGCTTCTGAAGAGAGAGCGCTGGCTATGGAATGGCTTCTGAAGAGAGAGCAGTGGCTATGGAATGGCTTATAAAGAGAGAGTGGTGGCTATGGAATGGCTTCTGAACAAAGCTGTGTCTATGTAATGGATTTGACCATCACCATCTGACTCTTGTAGCCTCTGTGCTGCGTAGGAACTGAGAAAGAAGTTTCCGTCACTCACTCTTTAATGCAATCCTCTTCCGCTGGGTCTGCACGGTTGTAATTATCCATAAACCTCTGCAGTGTGGGCCGATTTTCATTCTGTCGTGAACCCACCAACTTCCTGTGGAATAAACAAATAAATACAATTTTAGAAATGTGAAAGATCCCCTTATTCTAAATCGCCTCAATAATAATAATAATTATGTTGGTGTATATATTAGTGATGACTGAAAACATGACTTTGCTGGGCAGATCAACCTCAGCGGGGAAGGAAAACAAGGTGGCCCAAAATTACATTTTTGGCCTTATCAAGCAACAGCGGCATTGCCAAGCATGGCCTAGGAGCCTTGGACCCCAGACAGCAGTCCACAGTCACTCCACCACTGGCTGCCCTGTCAGGTACCCTTTGAACCCATAAAATAAAAAATATCCCTTTGCAGTCATGATGGCAGTTTCCTTTCTGTCTTAGATTTACTAATGTACGGGAAAATCTGATTTTTTTTTCTACTTTTTTTCACTGATTATAAATAAATTTAATATATAAATATAAATTATAAATAACAGAAGTCATTCAATTCCATCTGCCCCATTCCTGGATCTCACCCAGTCAGAAGTATTCCCTATAAGCACTGCCTCCTCTTTTCTGACAAAAGCATTGCCTGCCAACTTCCATATTGGGAAGATGCTACAGCCATTGGCTCAGTTGGGAACCTGCACTCAAATTGGCATTATTCTACTTTTTTTCACTGATTATAAATAAATTTAATATATAAATATAAATTATAAATAACAGAAGTCATTCAATTCCATCTGCCCCATTCCTGGATCTCACCCAGTCAGAAGTATTCCCTATAAGCACTGCCTCCTCTTTTCTGACAAAAGCATTGCCTGCCAACTTCCATATTGGGAAGATGCTACAGCCATTGGCTCAGTTGGGAACCTGCACTCAAATTGGCATTGGCATGAAAAGCTCTGGTGTCACCTTGTCATAACACTGAGCGTACTGAATAGGGTCAGCTGTAGAAGATCATTTTAGAGATCGTCCAAGCCCCATCTACACAGAGTGGTGCTCAGTGGGGGTCACAGTTTCTAGACTATCTTGAGATTAAATGCACTGGGCTTAGCCAAGAGACAAGACTCCGTCTATATGCCTCCCTAGAGTCAAGGAACTTGGATTACATTTTTGGGCTTTGCTCAAGCAATAGTGGCAGTGCCAGGCATGGGTCCCCTAGGAGCCTTGGGCCCAAGGTGGCTGCCCAAATTTCCCCAATGCAACTCCACCACTGGCTGCCCTGATAGTTGCCCTTTGAAACCAAAAGATAAAAATATCTAGTTCAGTTCATGATAGTTTCTGCTCAGTAAAGAAGTGAAACTAAGCCCTCTAATCCGGTCACAGGAAGTCCCTATAAACATTGCTTCCTCTTTTCTGACAAAAGCATTTCCTGCAGACTTCCACATTGGGAAGATGCTAAAGCCATTGGCTCAGTTTGGGAACCTGCACTCAAAATGCCATTGGCATGAAAAGCTCTCGTCTCACCTTGTCACAACACTCTGAGGGTATTGAATAGGGTCAGCTGTAGAATATCATGCAAGAGGTTGTCTGAGCCCCTCTACACCAATTAGCACTCAGTGTGTGTGGGGGGTCACAGTTTATAGACTGCATCTTGACATTAACTGCACTGAGCTCTGCAAAAAGACAGGACTCAGTCTCTACACCAGAGGAAGGCAAACTCCAGTCCTCTAGCTGTGCTACAAATATATATCCCATGAGGCGTTGCAAATGTGACAGCCACAGGCATCACTCCCAGAGGCAGATGCATGATGGCATTTGTAGTTTTACCACAGCTGGAGGGACAGGGTTTGCCTACCCCTGCTCTACACCTTCCCAGAGTAAAGCATCTGCCACACAGAAGAGACAGTATGGAGTGCCGAGCTCCTCTCACCAGCTGTTCGATCTCCTGTGCATCTTACTATCCAACTTGTCTGCTCCAAAGATATCCTGTACAAAACAGAAAGATTAATCAGGATTAACAGCAGCACTCGCAGAACATATGGAAATCATTTTTAAAGTTTTAGAAACCCTGCTCATGTGCATAGCTTGTAATTATACATGTAAGTGGGGGCTGCCATATTTGCTTAGTAGGAAGCAGATGCTGCACATGTAATAAGTAGAAAACGAATGCTGTGTGCAGTTAGTTGCTGCTTTCTCAAAAGACATATGCTAGTTGAAGAATCTATAAATCTTTGCATAAAAGCGCAGTGGCTTAACGGTTAACATCTCTGCCTGCCAGCTGCAGCACCGATGGGTCCCTGGTCCGAATCCCAGTCAGGACACCATGTGTATGGAGTTTGCATGCTCTCCCTTGTACTTGTGTGGGTTTCCTCCAGGTGCTCCAGTTTCCTCCCACACTGCAGACTTAAAAAGGAGAATTATGGGGCAAGTGAAAAACACTCATCCCCATCATTCAAGCCGACCTGTGACAGTGAAGCGGTCACATGACGGCTCTTTTGATCAGGAAGTCGGTGATCGGCGGTATGTGTTCGCTGACTTCCTGATCATCTTCCAATCATTTCCCTGCAGAGAGTAGTAACTGTCAGTCACCTCTCCCTGCAGGGATTCCCCCCTCCCTTCTCCGATCCTACAGCGCTGACTGGAGGAACGGACAAGGGAGGGGGAGGGCAGAGCCCGCTGTCAATCGGCCAACAAGGTGGATCTCGACAGTATTGTCAGGATACATCCCGGATGTGGCGATCTGCGGCTTGCGCTGGCACGGAGTCAGCTTCTCGAGCAACCAGGAAGGTGAGCGGTGGGTAATGACTCGCCACCTAGCTTCCTGATTGCCCAGGAAGCCGGCTCCATGTTTTGCTGGCTTGATTGTGATTGGCTGGGAAACCGGCTTCCCAGCCAATCACAATCAAGCCAGCCAAACATGGAGCCGGCTTCCCGGGCGATCAGCATCGAGCTGCCTTCCCGGGCAATCATGAAGCCGGACAGCGAGTAATGACCCGCCTCCCTGATTGGCCGGGAAGCCAACTCCATGCTGATTAGCTGGGAAGCCAGCTTTCCAGCCAATCAGGAAGCCAGGAGGTGGGTCATTACTCGCCGCCCAGCTTCCTGATGGTACTGGAAGGTGTGGCTCCATGTTCCCCCTACAGCACTGCCGGTCAGAGGAAATCTTCCTCTGACGAAGTCCTGGTATCGGGGAAGGTATTGGAGCATTTGGACGAGTACTCGCCCAAATACTCGGTATCGGCACCGATACTAGTATCGCTATATCCCTAGTATGTATGCATGTGAGATAGGGACCTTAAAAACTGTGAGCTCTTTAGGGCAGGGACTGATGTGAATGTAAAGTATGAAAAGTGCTGCGTAAATTGTCAGCACTATATAACTACCTATAACAAAATATTAAATGAAATGCAAATATGGAAGAGCAAGCAAGTAAAAATGGGAAAGTCACAAAACTTTCATTTCAGATGAATGCTACAGAATGTGTACATTGTGGATATACACCGGGATATTATCCACACACAGATCTCACCATAGCAGAGGCAGTGCCAATTCCTCTTGTGTACGCCGGCATACTGACCCTCCTGGCAGGGGAGACCTAGAGGAAGTAAAGCCGGGTTTATTCATGAACAGGATGAAAATATCGGCAGAAAGCCGATTAGCACAGCAACACACAAAGTATTTACCTTACTAGCAAGCGTTGATGCCAACTTTAATGCATCATCTGCAAGTGAAAAAAAATGCAAGTGTTATATGCAAACAGGAGGATCAATGAAATGACCTAATGTGACCTACAAAGCATTGCAACTGCGCAAAAAATCACATCAACTTAATTTATCATCTGCTGGGTGCGCAGTATCGGCAGTGCGGCCTTTTTTCTGGCAGCATTCCTGATATAGGCAATGACCAGTGACAACAGGGTACTGTCACAATTGCCTATGTACTGCCACAAGTGCCTTTGTAACCCACCCTGTATATACAGACGCAGCTTCCATGTTGGCGATTGGCCCTCACCTCTGTCCACGGCGCAGCTGTTGCGATCGCTATGTTGCATGACTTCCCGCAGCTCCTCCAGCTCGGCATGCTCCTTGGCGTACATGCGTTTTAGGTTTTCAACGTGCAGAATCATCACCTCCACTGCTTTACTGACCCGACTTTCCTGAACCAAATACACAGTTATTACAACCACGTCTGCCACTGGCCACAATACAAGGAATGAAAATAAATGTACGTTGTATATCAGATATATACTTTACTGGAGCCTGAAACCAATCCCACCAACAGGACCCAGGAATGGGGCATAATGACTTGTTATTATTTATAATTTATTTATATTTAATTTATATTTATATATTAAAGTTATTTATAAAATTCAGTGAAAAAAGTATAAAGAAAAAAGATCAGACTTTCCCGTACATTAGTAAATCTAAGACATATAATTCCCACAACAAAGTAGATGTAAACCCGAACTGAATGACATTTGGGTTGTTCTGTGTACTATGTATCCACAACAAATGTCGTTTACTTTAATCATTTCATTAAAATACTTTGTTCCATCTCAGTGCTGCTGATCTCCTGCAGCCTCTTCCTGTCTACATTCACTCCAGCGATGGCTGCATGGCATTCCCCTAGGTGGACTTTCTGATGGTGACAACAGTTGACCATGAATGTGTCATTTGAAAGCTCCATTGGCAGCCCATGTGACAAGTATGTAATGCCGGGGCCTGTATGATTGGATAGTTTAAGTAGCTCCTCATATTGCATAGTTTTGGTAGATCTAAAATTGATTGTACAATCAGATTCTAACGCGTATGATGAGCTTGAAGGTTTTATTACACACTTTTACTCTGTCTAATATATAGATAATTTATCATTAACCCCAAGCCACATTTCACAATTTAGTACTTAATAAATAACAATTCGCATCTGTTTTGGTGCCTGAAGCAAGGGGAGAGGCACTGATGGAGAGCGATGATGCTGCCCAGGCATGCAGGAGTGAGTCCACCACCCTGGCCAGCATCCTGCCCAGCTCCTGGCAACCAGTGACATGACTGGTTGCCAGGAGCTGGGCGGGACGCCAGCAGAGTATCCCAGGTTGCTAAGAGCTGGACGGGGAGATGTGTTTGGCTCTTACACGTCTCTCCGCCTGGCTCTTAGCAACCACTGGCCGGTAAGGGGACAGCAGACACACTGCAAACATTGCCACTCTGCCCTCCTCCCCCCCCCCCCCCAGCCTGCTACATTATGGAGACAGCCCTTTGTAGGTCTATATATTTATTTTTATTTTTTTACTTTGGAACATTTATAGGTTCAGTAACTTCAGTTTGGTCAAAGTTACATTTACTTAGAAAATTAAATTTCTGTGAACTCCGTACTGAGCACCATCTTTCACCTGGTGAATGGCCCCCAACATCTCTGCTCGGCTGGCCACACGCGCCGTGTGCTGACACAGAAACTGCAGACTCTTCTCCAGCTTCTTGACGATCTCGTGTGTCTGGTTGTCGTCTTCGCAGAGTGGAGTCAGAGCCTGCGGGGAAATCAAAGTATCTCAGTCTTTCGCTGCTGGATTCCACGACTATTGGTTGGTTCTACATTAGCAGAGGGTGAGCCCAATGGCTGTAAAACTAGGGTAGAAATTGGGAATTCTGTCTTGAGAGGTGCGCAGTGCACCATTGTAGTGTTAAACCGGCCATAGACTGTCTGGATTTCGTTTGAACATTTGTTCAGAATTGTTAATCATTCGTTCTCGCCAATATTGAGTCAACTAATTCCATTGGGAAGCCCTTAAAAATTTCCACCAGATCGGTTGCTAGAAGGGAATCCCAGACGTATTAAACAATAGAAATCACATTCACGGTTGGAATTTAGGTAATTTAGAAACTTGAAACTTCTATTTTCCTCGTCACTGCCGTCAAAGCGAATGTCAAATAGACCGCACTAACCATTAGAAAGTCAAACTAATGTTCCAAAATGCTTGGAACAAAATCTATTGGCCAATAAATATAATCTCTGCGCTAGTATATTGATCCCCTATGCTAAACTAAAGGCTTCCAGCATTAGAATTGTGACCATACATCAATAACAAACAATACATTGATAAGAATGCAGCGCTATCCAAACTATAACTAAAGTGCTATGTGACTAAAGTTACTGCATACACTGATCAGCCATAACATTATGACCACTATGGGTAGAAGGCAAGCCAACAGAGGCAGTGCGATACTGTGGACAATGTTCTGCTGGGAAACCTCGGGTTCTGCCATTCATGTGGATGTTACTTTGACATGTACCACCCACCTAAACATTGCTGCTGACCAAGTACACCCCTCCATGGAAACAGTATTCCCCGATGGCAGTGGCCTCTTTCAGCAAGATAATACTCCCTGCCACACTACAATAATTGTTAAAAAATGGTTTGAAGAACAAAATTACAAATTCAAGATGTTGACTTGGCCTCCAAATTCTCCAGATCCCAATCCAATTGAACATCTGTGGGATGTGCTGGAAAAACAAGTCCAATCCATGGAGGCTGATCACCTCACAACTTACAGGACTTCAAGGATCTGCTACTGATGGCTTGGTGCCAGATACCACAGCACACCTTCAGAGGTCTAATGGGGTCCATGCTTCGATGGGTCAGGGCTGTTTTGGCAGCAAAAGGGGGACCTACTCAATATTAAGCGGGCAGTCATAATGTTATTCCTTACTTGGGGAATAACACAAACATTATACCATTCTCAAAATGTCCCAAGGCAGTAGTGCTGTGCACTTAGATCCTGGTGTAAATCCGCACTCCAATATACGATGGGGTAATATGGTGGAGAACATCATCACGTTTTGGAGTTTGGATTTACACCAGGATCTAAGTCAACAGCACTACTGGCTTGGACTTAAGTTTTCTTATGATAGAGTGTTTGTGGTATATGTAGTAACACTAAGCACATAGCACTTTAGTTCTAGTTTGTATATCAATTGAAAGTTCTACTGGTGTGTGGACAGGCTTTAAAGGAGAACTATGGGGTCAGTGTTTTTCCCCATAGTTCTCCTTAGGGTAACGCGAGGACACAAACTAGCGTCCTCCCGTCACCCTACGCTCAGTATACCGCGAGCTACGCCCAGCTGCGTGAGTGACAGCTGGCTCTGCCTATCTAGAGGCAGAGCCAGCTGTACCCGCCCCCCTCCCCCATCTGTTCCGTCAGTCAGTGCTGGCGGAGCGGGGAATCCAGCCCCTCCCCTGTCACGACAGAGAGCCGTGACAGGATCGAGAGGTGAGCGAACGCCGGTATGTGTTCGCTCACTTCCCGATCTACTGAGCCGACCTGTGACAGTCTCATTGTCACAGGTCGGCTAGAACTATGAGGTGAGTGAAAAGCACCCACCTCATAGTTCTCCTTTAAGGAGCCCTAAAATGCTTTGTTGATTGACAGGCCATCATGAAATCTGGCCTTAGAATCTATCAGCAGCAGTCCGTTCACACATCTAGGACAGGAAAGTGCAGAATTTACTTTCAGGAATATCAATACCTCCAGGAGCTTTTTACAGCTGCCGAGCTCCTTCTTCAGATTGTCTTCTGCCAAATCACGAGATCTTTCCTCCAGGCGCAGACGTTTATCCAGAGTGAATATGTCACACTTGAAACCCAGAGACAGGCGCAGGAACTCAGTCTGACCACACAGGAAAAAAAGAAAAGAAAAGAAAAAACAGGAATTCCCTTTAGCTGGAACGGTTAAGTAAAAGCAATTGTCAGAAAAGAAACTGGCTGGGTGGAGATGGCCGCGTCCATTCTCTTAGGATTTTATTAGCAGGCTCTTCAGTTCCTTTTAACAACTTCACCATAACAAGACCAGCTTACTTGTAACTTCAGAACTGTAGTACCTACTCATATCCTGTAGATGGCAGTGCTGGTATAGAGAATAGTAAATAGTTTTTTGGGTTTTAGATGGCGTGGTGACGAGTTAGAACCCCTGTTGGGTTTTTAATGGTTGACGTTTGTAGGAGAGCTCCAAGAGATATTATTTACAGTCCAGATTAAGTTAATTCATCACATTAGGTGTGCTGCTAAACCAGCAATCAGAGCATACCTAAGACTTTTGTAAGCTTCAAACACGATCTGCACTCCCATACAAGTCTATAGGAATGGAAAACCTGCTTAGATCAATTGCAGGTCAGAAGGAGGTCAACTGCAGATCAAATCATCAATCAATGAATTCTGAATGATCTCAAGCCAATGCCATTGACATAAGCCCTTTGACAAAGGCCCCCTCCTATTAATATTATAACACCGCGATTCTCAAACGTTTGCCTAGACCTTCTTCTCCAGTGCAGCATTGGCCCCAATGAAGGGAGCCTCTTCAGTCCCCTGAAACATGTTGGTGGGTAAATTACTGGAGTACTAAACATCCTCTGCACTGCCAATAATATTTTGGCGCTTTATTCGAGACCTTACCCTTGAAGGCCGAGTCAGGATACTTTGCTGCACTTGAAAGCTGCCCTAAAAACAACAATTGCAGAATGAGGCTACTCCCCTACATCGGGGTCCAGCTCTGCACCACCTCAGGTCCTCATCCGAGGTTTTGATTGCGATGTTCCTGCTGGGAAGACTTGACATATCTGTCACCCCAATATAAAGTAATGGGAATTGCAACATTTTACCAAAACAGGAATATAGGAAAATCTTCCAATGGGGACAGTGGTGACAACTATGAGGGGAATTCTTTTCACTTCCTGACGTGTCCAATAGGACACATGGGGCAAAAAAACAGATTTTTTACATGTGAGCACACCAACTCGAGCGTACTAAATCAACCCTCCCTCCAATAGAGACTCACCTCCAACTCCTTGTCATTGTTTGATGTGCTGCAAAGAAATGACAAAAGGGGAGCCGTGAGCTGATATTCCCAGGACAATTTACATGTAACTATTATCAGACAGAACTTACTGGTTGTCCTCGGTACACTTTGAGTTTATTTTAAGCAATGGTGATGTTCCAACCACTGCAAAAAAAAAAAATGAAATAAAAAAAAAATGTAAATAAAACAATTATTTTGTTCAATTATTATTTATATATGATCTCTTCTTCTCGCTTTGTTTAGATTTTCTAACATTCAATGAAAATGTAAAAGTCTGTAAACCACAACACTGAACTTCTCTCATTTGCTCCTTTTTGGTCTGTTTAATATTTAATTGAAAGAGTTTTAATTATACTTGTTCAATAAGTGCAAAAATATCTCTCGATTCTGCCAGAAATCCAGTGAACTGGTGACCTCCTGTGCTCTCTGCCTAGGCCACTCTTTTCAGTTACATTGTTCCCAGCCAGCTGTGGACTTCAGAAACACCACCCCCTATTTTTTGCAGAAGAGGAGAGTGAGCGGTATGGTGTCATCCTGTCCTAGGGTGACACACACTGCTCCTCCATAGATAAGCAAGCGTTGTCACCCTATGACAGGAATGCGTTACTGGCAGGATCACCAGGGGAAAATAGACAACACTCTACACAGGTTGACAATGCTGCTGTCAAAAGGATGGCTACACTTCTATTACATAGATGCAATGGAGAAGTGAGAGTAGTCACCCTAAGGCCTGAAGTTTCTTAATGGCAGGACCACCAGGTGAAAATAAAGGAAAGGCCTGAAAAAAGTAAAAAAAAACTGATGCAGCCACCACATCCAAGGATTGGTAAGTTGCAATGAATGCCTGTTTAGATTCACTTTAAGCAATGGTGGAAAGTATTTCAGCTGTAGTTGTAACATTGCAACACTTCATGTATGGACTTCCTCTATCAAATATACACTGTTGGCATTGAAAAAGCTCAGAGACCATAGGAAATATCTATGGCCACTAGATGCAGCTGAGGAGCATAGGAAATATCTATGACCACTAGATGGAGCTGAGGAGCATTGTATTTATGGCCACTAGATGGAGCAAAGGAGCATAGGAAATATTTATGGCCACTAGATGGAGCAAAGGAGCATAGGAAATATTTATGGCCACTAGATAGAGCTGAGGAGCATAGGAATTATTCATGGCCACTAGATGGAGCATAGGAATTATTCATGGCCACTAGATGGAGCTGAGGAGCATAGGAATTATTCATGGCCACTAGATGGAGCTGAGGAGCATAGGAAATATTTATGGCCACTAGATGGAGCAAAGGAGCATAGGAAATATTTATGGCCACTAGATAGAGCTGAGGAGCATAGGAATTATTCATGGCCACTAGATGGAGCTGAGGCGCATAGGAAATAAGTATTTCCCATGCGCCTCAGCTCCATCTAGTGGCCTTAGTGCAGTTTTACATTACATTCGACCTGAAAAGAAAATATACCAGGAACATTTGTTTTTGCCTATTCACAAAGAACAAATGTCCTCACAGTTACACAGTGAATGGCTCTGCAAATTGTTTATAAATAGACCCCTTAGTGTTCACAGGTGGACTGATCATAATTAATTTTCCATATTGTATTTAGCAATAGTAATGAATCATCTGGACACTGATAGGCATACAAATCACTCACCTTCTGTAAGGGACATTTTAGTCTCTCCAGCCAATTCCTTCTCTGGATTGGGCTGTATGTGAAAAAAAAAAGAAATTAAATGAAACAAATCTCTCTCATACTGGACAACAAATATTGTAAATTTTCCAGATTTAACACTTCTTTCCCCAGACTTTATTCCCGAGATTTACTTTGTCATTTTCCACACAGTTGTCCCCAAATTACAAAGTCAATGCAAGAATGGTTTCCCGCAATTGGCAAGTAAAACCATTTAGTGCGATTTAAATAAAACAAGAGAATTCTTAAGCATTAGAGGAAGTTGTGGGGGAAGTTTCTGCTCATGTATTAGGAGTGTCGGAGCACCAGTGACAGGATCTGATTGGCTCTGGTGATGGTACAATAAATGATACAATATTAGGGAAATGTCTGATTCACTGAACTGCCTTTCATAACTCTACGGACACAAATCAGAATTGCACATATTAAACTTGCAATCCTTTTTTCTAGGGATGCACCGATACCAAGCACCGTACTCGGTACAAGTACAGATACTTTTATAGCTCCAACACTAGACTAGAGAAAAATGCCAAAGTTAGGAGGCAGCTGTCATTTGTAAGGAGCACACGGAGCTCCTGGGATTTGTACATCTCTGTTTTAACGTATTATTTTGTTTTTTCTAAACATACCGTATATACTCGAGTATAAGCCGAGATTTTCAGCCCATTTTTTTGGGTGAAAAGTGCCCCCCTCGGCTTATACTCGAGTCAGCGCCAGCGCGTCTTCTTACTTACCTCGCCGAGCGTCGCGTCACTGCTGCTCCGGTGTGCGGCGCTCCGAGCGAGGTCATCTGGCAGTCTCCGGGTCCTAATTTAGGTGGCCGGAGACTGCCAGATGACCC